CGCCCGTGGGGAGCGATGCCCGTGGGGAGCGACGCCCGTGTGGGAGTGACACCTGTGGGGAGCGACGCCCATGTGGAGCGACGCCCGTGGGGAGCCACGCCCGTGGGGAGCCACGCCCGTGGGGAGCAACACCCATGTAGGAGCAACGCCCGTGTGGGAGCGATACCTGTGGGGAGCGCCGTGCCTCAGGGTCGGCTTTGAAGATGCTCTTTGTTGTAAACACAGCGTGCAGCTCTTGCAACAAAGCCCAGCCTTTCCTTGAAAAGGGCTTTATTGCGAAGGGAGGTGCATGGGATGCAGAGACTGCGAAGACAGAGCCCAGCATCTGAGGCTGGGTGAGGGGGACTCGGAGGGGCGGGGGCTGCAGGGCTGGGCTGGTCGGAGAGCTGAGCACCTCACGCCTGGGTGATGGCAGGTGAGCAGGTGCCGGGAGTGAGGGGACCTGCTGTCAGGACAGCCCACCACCCCTGCCCACGGCGAGTGGCTGCGTGGTCCACCGACCGGGGCTAAGGTGTGGTTTTTGGGGCCCAATCAGACTGCACCAGTCACCCTGAGGGTAGGCCGGGTGCCTGCCGTCCCCTCCTCCTGTGGGTTCTTAGCAGACGTGGGCCCCCCACTGTGAGAATCCCCTCAGAGCTCACCCAGGAAGAGGGGGGTCTGTCCAGGAGGGGCCCTGCCGGGAGGTTCCCAGTGCACTCGTTGCTAAAGTGGTTCTCATGTCCGGTGCTCAGAGGGCCGGTGTTGTCTAGACACCCCGCAGCCCCAGGGCTGTGTCCCCCATCACCACATGGCGTTCTCTCACGCCTGGCGACCAGGCGGGGCCAGCACAGTCTGGGCTCCATTTTCTGCCGCCTGGTCGCCCAGACGAAGGGGTTGAGCATCCCGGGCCACAGGGCAGTGACCTGCCTCCAGTACACACGTCTCTCGGGGACACTGTGACCCCATGATCCCATCAGGGGAGGAGGGTGGGAGGGGCAGCAGGTCCTCGAGGGTCTCTCCGGGGTGGAGCCGGCAGCCTGCTCCCGACACCAGGACCCTCATGCCCCCCAGGGCTGACCTAGCTGATGACCCCCACCCGTCTCTCCTCTTGGGATAAGGAATGGAAGCCCCACGGCAGGAGGTCTGGGGGTCACAGGCACGCAGGCTTGACCTCCCACATGCCACACCAATAGCCCGGCCACCTGAGCAGGCCTGGAGGGGTGCCGCCTCTGGGTTCTGAGAGAGCTGGGGGGCGGGGGGCTTGAGCCCTGGCTCCAGCTGGAAAGAGACAGCCCCAGGCTCCAGACCCTCCAGGGTCTCAGCCGAGGATGGCTGAGGATGGGAGAAGACAGAGCCGGCCCTGGGCACGGGGCAGGGGCTGCGGCACTGGGGCTCGGACAGGCCCCAGGCAGGGCTGGTCCTGGGGGCTCCACGTGCATGTTTCTCAGAGGCTGAGACATGGGCACGGGGACAGACAGAGCACATGGGCCTTCAAGGGACCCTGCATCGTGGGGATGAGAAGAGCACATGCAGCCACCCGGGACCCCCAGGGGCCCTGCACCCACCCACCTGGGGTCTCCAAGCAGCCTGCACAGGTCGACAGGAAGGACAAGGCGGGGGCCAGCAGACACCCATCACGCCCCCTCCTCACGTTCATTTTATTGAAACCACCGCCGCGGTGGGTAGGCAGATGGGACCCCAGCAGGTGGGAGAGTGCTGACCACACGCCTGGGTTCCGTGGGGCTACCCTTGGCGGGGGCCCTCTTCAACACGGCCCCTTAGGCGGGCTCCGGGTGCGGCCACTCCCTGGCCTCAAAGTAGCCCTTCAGGTCCTGCAGTCTGAGTGGTGGGAAGTAGGGGCCGATCCGCTTCCGGACCCACCACTTACCCTCTGTTGCGTGCTGGCCCCCCGGGAGGCTGAACTTGTAACGGTAGTGCTCTGCGCGGACCCACCTGCAGAGGAGGTGGGGTCAGTGAGCCAGCTCCTGAGTCTCCTGCCCGGCCCACCCCTGCCAGCCCGAGCCCCCGCCTGCCCGGCCCACCCCTGGCAGCCCGAGCCCCCGCCTGCCCGGCCCACCCCTGCCAGCCCGAGCCCCCGCCTGCCCGGCCCACCCCAGCCAACCCATGCACCCACCTGCCCATCCCACCCCTGGCAGCCCGTGCCCCTGACACCCACTCCAGCCCTCCCGTGCCTGGCCCATGCTCTGCTGATGGACCAGGGAGACCCTGAGTTGAGGCACTGAAAACTGCAGATCTCAGGGGGCCTCAGGCTTGAGGTCCTGGGTCCCCCTTGCAGGAGGGTAGGCTGTGTGAGGTCAGGTGACCTCAGGACCCTCTGAGCTTGAGCCTAGCACCCACAAATGGAGACACCTCAAGGGAGGAGCCAGGGAGCCCCATGTGGAGCCAACACCCTCAGCCACGCTGACGGCAGTTCTCAGGACCCCACTGGTCTCCACCACGAAGGCAGTAATAACCAGACAACTATTCCTAAAAGGGGACATTTGGACACAGAGCAGGCAGGGGCTGGGGACACTCCGTCAGGCCCTGTGTCTGGCCCGACCGTCAGACGGCCCAGGGAGTGCAGCCAGCCTGTCCCCTCCGTCCCGTGCACTGGTGGAGGCCTAATGGGGTGCCCTGTGGGTTTGAGACGCCCTCCTGATACCCGAGTATCGGGGGTATGACGGGTCTGGCCCACACCATTCAGGGTGCTTGGCTGGCCCTCAGCCAAACCCCAGGGCCCGGCCGCCTGCAGGCCCAGGTGCCTCTCTCTCCCATCCCCCAACTTGCACCTTCCTCAGTTTTCTGGCAGCTTCTGGGCCCTCTGGGTGGCTCTGACACAGTGACAAGAAGCCTGGGCCCCCACGGCTCCCCGAGCTGTCTAAGGAGCGAAGGGCGGTCAGTCTGGGGACTGGAACTCGGAGAGGCACGCAGAGTGGACTCCAGCCTCCAAGGTGAGCTCGCCGGGTCTGCCTTGGAAAGTGTGTCCCCGAGCACGCAGGGTCCTGCTCGGGGATGACTCCTGGAGGCCGTGTCTGGGACGTGCGCGATCAAACCCAGGTGTGTCTGGCCTTCCTCGCCACAGGGGGACTCCTGGGTGCCAAGGCCTCTGCTCCCTGCCTTCCACATGATTTCCTGCCTGTTGCTCAGATGGGGCGATTTCAACCGTCCCACCTTGAACTGAGAGGCATCCTGGTGGTGCAGTGGTTTAGTGCTCGGCTGCAGTAGTTAAGTGCTTGTCAGCTAACTGAAAGGTCTGTGGTTCGAACACACTGGCTCCTCTGTGGGAGAAAGGTGTGCCAGTCTGCTTCTGTTAAAGATTACAGCTTTGGAAACACTATGGGCAGTTTGACTCAAAAAAAACAAAACAAAACAAAACAACCCCACCAAACTCACTGCCTAGAGTCAATTCTGACCCACAGTGCCCCTAGAGGACAGAGTGGAACTGCCCACAGGGTTTCCAAGGTTGTCAATCTTGGAAATTCAATTCTGACCCACAGTGCCCCTAGAGGACAGAGTGGAACTGCCCACAGGGTGTCCAAGGCTGTCAATCTTCACAGAAGCAAAGCCCAAACCACACCCACCGCCTGGAGTCGATTCTGACCCACAGCGCCCCTAGAGGACAGAGTGGAACTGCCCACAGGGTCTCCAAGGTTGTCAATCTTCGAAGAAGCAAAGCCCAAACCACACCCACTGCCGTGGAGTCCATTCTGACCCACAGCGCCCCTAGAGGACAGAGCGGAACTGCACCACACGGTCTCCAAGGCTGTCAGTCTTCACAGAAGCAAAGCCCAAACCACACCCACCGCCTGGAGTCCATTCTGACCCACAGCGCCCCTAGAGGACAGAGTGGAACTGCCCACAGGGTCTCCAAGGTTGTCAATCTTCCTGAAAGAGGACTGTCACATCTTTTTCCCAAAGAGTGGCTGGTGGGTTTGAACCATTGACCTTTTGGTTAGCAGCCAAATGCTTTAACCACTGCACCAGTATGAGTCACAATTGACTGGATGGCACCGAACATCTTTGAAGTCACGGGTTCTTTCCTCTGTCCCCTTGCTCTGCTGCTGAGCCTGTCCGTGGAGGTTTCATCCGAGTTTTACTGTATTTTTCAGCTCATCTACTTCCACGTGGTTCCTCTTCATGTCCTGTTTGTGGAGACCACTTCTCGTCTGTTCCTGGCATGTTTGCGGGAGCAGTCTCAGGACGGCCGCGTTAAACCTCCATCACCAGACAGTTCCGACGTCTGTAGACAGTCTTCATTCTGTAAGACACCCTACTGGTCTTGCGCTGAGTGATTTTCACTGGGGACCTTTCTCTCACTAGCTGGCTTCCTCAGACGCCCTGCTGGCAAACGGTGGGGGCCCTGCCTCCTTACTGCCCGCTGGGAGCTGACGTCCAGGTTCTTCATGCGTTCTCCACCGACAGCATGGAACCAACCAACCCAAGCCCCGGAACCTGCTGTCGATTCCGACTGACGCCGACCCCGTGCCGCACAGGCCAGAACGGCCCTGTAGGGTCTGCTCGGCTGTAACCTTTTGTCTGTTTTTTTAAATAATTACAATGCTCAGTGCTAATGACGGGGTGCTGTGCCGGGTTTTAGCTTTGATTTTGGCTGCTGTGAATCAGGATAATTTTCCTGAAAAGCAGTTTGGAAAGACTGTATAAAGGTCCCTAGAGTATTCGTGTGCTTTATTTCAAGAACCCCCTCTATGTCTCCAACCCGCTGGCTGTGGTCTTCATGGGAGCTGATCACTCAGCCTTTACTCCAAGGCGCTGCTGGTGGCTTTGCACCGCCAGCGCTCTGGTTAGTAGTCCAGTGCCAGGCAGGCTGCTCACTGCCCCCTGGGAATGAGTGTCTGACCCCAGCCCAGTGGGAGGGCTGAGGGGCTGGGGCACCACCCCAGGGCCTGGTGAGGTCCACGTCCCCCCTGGGCCTTTGCCTGCCTTGGCCGCGGAGGCGGGTATCTTGTTGTTTTCTGTGGTGTCTGGCTGACAGTTTTCTGTCTTGCTGGCTGCCCCGTCCTGGCCCTCTGGCCGGAGGGAGGCTGGTCTGGACCTGTGGCTGGTCTGCAATTGCTGGCTTCCTTGGCTCCAAGTCTGGGCTCCACGAGACACAGGGAAAACCCAGGGGCTCATCGCCCTGTTGTCCCCCGGGCCCTACAGTCCCACGCTGGTCCACCTTCTTGTCCGTTCTTTCCAGAGAAAGCGCACAGGTAGGAGACACGTCAGCTTGGCTGGGCCGGGCCCCCAGAGGGGTCAAACACTAGACCAGGCACTGCCCTGAAGGTGCTCACGCCGGGGCAGCTGCCCACCGTCTCCCCGGCCCTCAGGCGGGCCTGACCGCAATGCAGCCCTGGGCCCGGCCCGGCCCGACAGCTGTGACCAGGCCCCACGGCAGCTGCCCCGCTCACAGCTGAGGCTTTCTGGAGGGAAAACAGGGAGCGTGTTTTCTGTCAGAGTTGACGGCTGGCGGGTGCTGGGGAGGGAAACGTGCCAACCGCACTTCTCTGTTCCTACGTCGCGGGGTTTGCTGCCCCTCCCATAAATCACACATTCCCGGGGGCAGAGCAAACGCCGGTCAGAGAGTCCATCTGCCTCCTGGGGTCTCCAGGCCACCCCACCCCCACGCCCACCCAGTCTCCTCTGCAGAGTGGGAGTTGGGCCAAGACAGCACAGTGGTCTTGCCTGGGGTCTGACCCCCTGGAGGCCCCGGAGCCCAGCATGCAGACCCCTGTGCAGCCTGGCTCCCGTGTGTGGCTGCGTCGTTGTCGCCCTGGGAGTTCTGAAGCCCACAGCAGTGCCGGGGGCACTCTCGCCATCAGTCAACAAATTCCCCCCACGGTGACAGAGGGGGTGCCCTGCCCCCAGACCTGAGAACCAAGGACCCGAGGCTTTGCCTGGATGTGGGGGCCTCCCTGCCCCTGGTGCCAGGCTCCAGGAGCGCCCCCGCCCCAGGGACACCTTGCCACCCCCAGGGACACCTTGCCACACCACACCCTCCCACCCACACGGCCAAGCCCCAGTCCTCTTCCCTCCCTGTGACTTGTGCTCCCCGGGGTCCGCAGGTCAGATTCCTGGGTGTGGGCCTAGCATCTCCCCCCTGCCGTCCCCTGCCCCTCCCTCGCCCCCAGAGTTGAGAAGTCTTCCACGCCTGTCACCTGGGCCCCCGTGAGGGGTGCAGGGCGGAGGGCCAGGGCCTGGCCGTCTCACCTGGGGGGCTCCGCGCCTGAGAAGGGGTTGTGGGCGAGCAGGGACAGCACCTGGGCGTCGTTGGCCAGCAGCTTGCCTGCCAGGTGGAGGATCCACTCATGCTGCTCGTAGGTCTGTGGGGAGGCAGGCCGGCGTCAGCCGCGGCTGGGGACACCTGTGCATCCCCCGGGTCATGCCACTGCCTGAGACCGCACTCGGGGGCAGGGCTCTGGGACGACAGTCTGCCTGCAGCAGCCCCCACAGCCCCACAAAGCTCCCCGCTTCCCGTTTGTCCGGCCTCCTGGGAAGCCTGACAGAGTTGGGGCCAGGCTGGGGTCTAGGGGGTGGGGATGGGGAATGGGAGTCTCCCAGGGAGACCGGGTCTGGCGGGGGGGCAGGGTCCCCGACTCCCAGCCAGGGCTGGACTCCTTCCAGGCCTCTGTAAGGCTTTCCCTGCAGCCCTGGGCTGTCTGGTCCTCGGGCAGGGCCCTGGGGGTCAAGGGAGGAGGGCCTCGGAGGCCTGGGGCCCAGGCAGCACCAGGGCTTGGGGCTCGGCGCCGGCCCGGCCCGTCCACGGCTGGGGTCCTGGGCTGGCCTGTCTCCCCCAGGGCTGGGCAATGCCGGACCTGGAAGGCCGCGAACCACATGAGCCAGTCCAGGCGGTGGTGGTAGGGGGAGATGAGGCAGGGCCGCCGCCTGGGGTCCCCCGGCTTGCACTTGAACTCGTAGTCAGCCCACAGGGCGTCGGGGGCGCTGGCGTTGGGGCTGGCTGTGCCCTGGAGGATCACTTCCGTGCGCTCCTTGGTGATGCTGTGAGAGGGTGGGGTCAGGGTCGGGCTGCACCCCCAGCGGCCCACCTACTGCCTGTGGGGCTGGGGAGCCTGGTCTCGCCCACACCACCATGGGTTCTGGGACCTTGGCCTCCTCTGGGGTCCCAGGACTGGGGCCAGCCGAGGGACAGAGCAGCTCACTCCCAGGCTGCCTTGGGCGCCCGTCCTGCTGTTGGGCTGGGCCTGGGAGTGGTGGGACGTGCGGGGGGGGGGGGGGGGGGGGGGGGGGGGGGCGGCCTCGGGGCGCTCCGTGCAGCTACTGGTGCTCAGGCCTCTTGTGGTTCTTGGCCCCTTGTTCTCTGCATCTGCTACGTTTCCCACAGTGAGTGTGTGGACCCAACTGTGCCCCCCGAAAGGCATGCTTAGGGCCAAACCCTGCAAACTCAGAATGTGAACTTGTCTGGAAAAGGGGTCTTCGCAGATGCAGTCAGTTATCATGACGTGACACTGGGGCAGGCTTGAGGGGTCATCAGGATGAGACCCCTGGGGCTCGTACCTTCCAAAGGCCCCGTAGGTGTTGACGATCCTGAGCGGGTTGAAGGAGACGTTCATGACCTGCCGTGAGCTGAGTAGGTTGAGGACGACAGGGATGCTGAGGTAGCCAATGAGGGCGGCCAGCGTGAGGTGGACAGCCCACCGCACCACACAGCCTGACCAAGAGACGGGGTGAGCTGCTGGGCTCCTGGGGCCAAGTCCCCTCACCCGGCCTCCATCTGCCTCTTCTGTCCCAGCCCCACAGGCCATGGAGGCCACCGATGTCACCTACCCCATGTCTGCACGGGCTGGGCCCCCTGGGCCTCCTCTTTCTGCAGCTGCAGGACTTGATCTTTGAGGCCCCCAGGCCCAGAGGGGAACAGGAAGCTCAGGGCGGCGTCGTCGAAGCAGGCCAGGCTGGGCACGATGGTCAACCAATTCAGGAAGCTCAGGTTCCCGCTGATGATGAGAAGCACCTGGGGGGAGACAATGCTTGGCCAGGGTCTGGGAGGAGCCGTCCTGGGGGCAGGGCTGTCCGGAGCCAAGGGCACGCCCCACGAAGACCTCAGCACCCGAAGATCCCTGGCTCCCCCAGGTGGTTACAGGCAGTCCTCCAGTTACGGACATCCGACTGACATCTAACCCACCAAGTCCACCCCCAGGTGGTTACAGGCAGTCCTCGGGTATGGACGTCCAACTGATGTCTAAACACCAAGTCCACCCCCAGGTGGTTACAGGCAGTCCTCTGGTTATGGACATCCGACTGACGTCTAACCCACCAAGTCCACCCCCAGGTGGTTACAGGCAGTCCTCGGGTTATGGACATCCGACTGATGTCTAACCCACTAAGTCCACCCCCAGGTGGTTACAGGCAGTCCTCAGGTTACAGACATCTGACTGACGTCTAACCCAGAAGCCACCCCCTACAGCTTTCCTGGATGAAAAATCTGAGGTGCATACACTGGTGCGTGGTAACAAGTGGGTGTTACTCTGTGAGACGCATCCAGGCAGTGTCATTATCGTTGTCACACTAAAGATGTCCTAGACCATCTGGAAGTGCCACATTAACGTCTGTACCACAGGAAGTACGCTGTGCAACACACACTAAGACAACAACTGACCAGCAGACGCTGGATACAGCCCGCACCTACTGTTCCAGCTTGTGATGGTCCAGGCTGGGCGTCAGCTTGGCTGGGCCACGGTGCTCAGCCGTGTAGCAGTTATGATGTGTTATTCCCCAAGATGGGCTCTGATGCAATGTAATCACCTCCAGACGGACATGCTGTGAGCTGCCCATCAGTGGGAAGGGCGTGCACCCAGTGCACTGGGCGTCCTGGGCATGGTCTCTGCTTTCTGCTGGATCTGGCTCCTGCATCTGGGTCACCATTGCCCTTGGTTCCTGGACTCGAACCAGTGACCTGCCGTACCGCCTGCTCATCTTGGGGTTGTTGCCCTCACAGCCATTTTACCTGCCGGTCCTGGGACTCTCAGCCCCGAAGCCAGTGGCCTGCCACACTGCCTGCTGGTCCTGGGTCCGTCAGCCCCTACAGCTGCGTGAGTCAGGAGGGGCCTCTGGCTGGATGTCTGACCCATGGACTCAGAACTTGCCAGCCTCTATAACCATGTGAGCCACTTCCCTGAGATAAATTTATCTCTCTGTCTCTGTCCCTCTATAAGCTTCACTGGTTTTACATCTCTAGAGAACCCAGCCTAAGACACCACTTACCCCAAACACCAAACTCACTGCCATCTAGTTGATCTGACTCACAGTGACCCCTCCTTGAGTTTCTGAGGTGGTATCTCTAGGGAAGTAGATTGCCCCATCTTCCATCTGAGGAGTGGCTGGTGGGTTTGAACCGCCAGCCTTCTGGTTAGCAGTCAGGTGCCTCAGACACTACCCCACCAGACACCACTTAGGCACACATTTTACTCAAGGACAGATTTAGAGATGGGACTTGTTCGTCATCTGGGGACTGCCTGCACCCGAGAAATGAATATTCGTGTCCACAGGACTTGAATGTTCACAGTGGTATTATTCACAAGAACAAGAAACTGCAACCGGCGACCAGCCGTCAGCAGGACGTGTGGTGCATCCACACGTGGCATGTGCGCAGCCATGTGAAGAGTGCAAGGCTGCAGGGCGGAGGCACGGCGGGGGCGGAGGCACGGCGGGGGCGGAGGCACGGGGGGGGGCATTCACGGGTGTGGACCAGTGTTGTGCCGTGACTGCACTGACAGGCCGGGAGCAGACAAGCTGAGGCACCTGTGGGACGTCCATGCAGCCCATCTTTAAAGTCTGTCCTGATCCTAAAAGGACTCCAGGTGGTGCAGTGGTTAAATCATTGCACTGTTACCTGAAAGGTTGGCAGTTCAAATCCACTAGTGACTCCTTGGGAGAAAGATGAGGCAGTCGGATCCCATGAAGACTGACAGCCTTGGAGACCCTGTGGGCAGTTCCACTCTGTCCTCTAGGGGCGCTGTGGGTCAGAATGGACTCCAGGCAGTGGGTGTGGTTT